GTTGCAGAGACTAACAATGAAGCTAAGGAGATGAAGGAGTTGGTAAAAACTTGTTTGGTACTTGGTGGGAAGCTAAGCGTAGGGGATGTGTTGGGTCCGTTGAAGGTATTGGACTTTTCTGGAACAAAGAAGAGGCTTGTAGAAGTCATGAACAAATATGATCAGCTAATGGAGAGGATAATTGGGGAACATGAAGAGAAAGCCTTGAAGGGTTTTGATGAAGATCAAAGAAAAGATATACTAGATATCTTGTTGGAGATTTACAGAGATCCTACTGCAGAAATTAAGTTATCTAAAAACGATATCAAATCCTTCTTGCTTGTAAGTATCTTATATGAATGATTTTCTACCTTTCAGAATGTCGTTTCATTAATAAGAAAATATTTTTCTTGGTCGGAAAAATTTATTTCATGCCGGGGGAAAGTTGCCCGGCTAAATTTTTCTTCCTATTTCCTTCTCTTCAAATATTTGTCTCCCTCATGAAAACTTTTTCTCGCTCTTACATTTTTCCTCTTCCGATGGTTTTTCTCTCACTTAGGAGATAAATTTTTTCTCCTTTACGGGGGACTTTTCTCTCCTGTGAGAGATTTTCTCTCGTTGAAAAATGTTCTCTTACGAGGGATTTTCTTTCCTCCACTTAGAGAAAAAATTTCTTCATACATTCAAGGAATTATGAATGATGAATTAGTAACTGTTGATTGAGTAGGACATATTTCTGGCGGGAACAGACACATCAGCGTCAGCCATGGAGTGGGCAATGGCGGAGCTCATTAATCATCCACAGGTCTTCAAAAAACTCAGAGAGGAGATAAATTCCGTGGTGGGTTCCAACAGACTAGTCAAAGAATCAGACATCCCGAATCTTCCTTACCTCCGAGCAGTGATTAGAGAAACCTTGAGGCTCCACTCGCCAGGTCCGTTGATCGTCAGACAATGCACAGAGGATAGCGAGGTAAACGGGTTCATGGTGAAGGCAAAGACCAGAGTGTGATCAACGCGTACGCAATCATGAAAGATCCGGACGAATGGAGTGAGCCAGAGAAATTCGTGCCGGAGAGGTTCTTGGAGAATACGGAGGAGATAGTAGGAGAACATCATATGGAATTTAAAGGTCAGAACTTTCGGTATGTACCGTTCGGAAGTGGCAGGAGAGGGTGTCCGGGAGCATCGCTGGCGATGTTGGTGATGCATGCGACGGTGGGTTCGCTGGTTCAGTGCTTTGACTGGAAATTAAAGGAGGGAGAGAAGGTTGATAAGAGCGAAGGCTCAGGTTTTGCTGCAGAAATGGCTCGACCGCTTATGGCATACCCTGTTCAACATCTTAACCCTTGTTCTTGAGACCGCCACATATACATAAACATCTATGTATCTGCAAATGTGTTTAATATATATATATATATATATCTGTTTCTGTTGGATGAAAATTTTATGTTATCTTCAACGAATGGTGCTTATCACGTGTTTAATGTATATATAAATAAGTCTGTTATTTATCATGTTAATGTGTAAAAGAAATATTCTGTGTGGGTTAAATTTTTAATTAAAATAATTAAAAATTTAACCTAATTTTTGTTTATATACACACATATATATATGATGGGTAGGTAGTACAAACATATATAGTTATAAGTGTATATATGTAAATAATCAATCATCTTTCACCTCTTCAAACTCATAACAAATTCTCACTATCAGTTTACTACTAATGTATGGCTTTCACTTTCAACTGCTAAACATGCTATTATGCATAGACATACAATACAAAGTAAAAATCAGAAGATATTTGCTATATAACAGACATGATATAAGCTTTTTGCAACAGATCTCATTTTCAACGAGAAAAGAAGGCAGATCAATAAATTCTTGCCCATTTTTGGGCAATTTATATCGAGTTTGCAGAAAAGGTTCTCGGATCAATCCTTGAGAGCCAAAATGACTCGTGCGTATACACAGGATAAGCATTAGGATCTTATTTATTATGCAGAAATATGAATATGCCTAGCGAAAGTTAGCGAAAGTAACATTACCCTAAACTTGGTCGGCTCGGCTCGGCTCGGCTCGGCTCGGCCATTGAGCTGCATCTCACTCTGATTTAAGCAAATCCTATCATAATAAAACTAATTTATAGAAAAAAAACAGACACGAGAAATAAAGAGAACATATGAGATACTGCAAACGAATTACCAAAAGGTTATCGAGAAAAGAAAAATCGTGAGAAGTTGTTTTCTATGTGATGGGTGACAATAATAAGATAAACTCTAGACATTTAAGAAGAAATCAACTGATATTTTCTTACTCCAAGAGTTTTGCAACTATCAAGCATGAATTAATTCAGAAACTATATCTGATACTTAGAGAGAATAAAGTCATACAGATAATCTGATGAGAAAAAACAAATCTTATAGAAACAATCAATTACACAACTACACTTAATCAACCTACTATTTTGGTACATTCTTGTTTGAAGTTCATCTGCCAGAGAAATAGGTGCACCAAAAAATATTAATGCTCCCTACTTTCATTTACAATCACTTGGTCTTCTTATGCATTCCCATCCGAGATCTTGCATACATGGATAGCTCATCAAGTCAAAACCGGCTAAAGAAACAACACGAAAGCATACTCCAATCGCATGCCATCGCCTGCTGGTGATGAGTACAAGATCATGCCTTGCAGGCTATTTAGTATCTCGGTGAACATGCAGTGTCAGATAAAGTTTGAGATGATTACTTAGCATATTGCTTAACTTTTTTATTGTTAATGGAGTAAGCTACAACTAAGATTTGGTTGCTAAGTTCCCTCCAAAAGGGTATGACAAACAAGAGACGGCATGAGCAAAATAAACATCGAAATCATCTATATTTGTATATATCCATGTAAAGTACATATTAAAATCATAAATGAATCTCGTATGAATTTCAAAAAAGTTTAAAAAATATATATAAATAATATAATTAGCCCTCTAATCTCTATATAACTAGCAAGTTCAAAATTTTCAAGCCAAAAAACCTCAAACTCCAAAAGTATTAGCACAAATGGCTACAACTAATATAACTGGGTCGCTCTATTACCTTCCCTTTTTCATCTTTGCATTCATAATCCACTCATTGTTTAGGAACTTACTGAAACCTGGTGGCAACCAGACCAAACTCCCACCTATGCCACCGGCTCTACCCTTCATCGGTCACCTCCATTTGTTAGGCTCGGTCCTGCCCAAGTCATTCCAGACCCTGGCTCGGCGCTATGGCCCGCTCATGCGGCTCCGCCTTGGCGCATCCTCATGCGTGATTGTATCAAATACCGCCGTCGCAAAAGAAATCTTTAAGACCCACGACCTGAGTTTCGCTTCCAGGCCCGAGTTTGGTTCTTCAGAGTACTTCAAGTATCGTGGGTCCAGGTTTTTGCTAGCTCCATACGGTGATTACTGGCGGTTCATGAAGAAGCTATGCATGGCACGCCTCCTAGGCGTACCTCAACTAGAGAAGTTCACTGAAGTCCGCGAGCAAGAGAAGGAGAAGCTCGTGGAGTCTCTGATGAGGATTTGTAGAGAAGGGAAGATGTGTGACTTGGGCAGTGAGCTAATAAAGCTGACGAACAACACTATTTGCAGAATGGCGATGAGCACCCGGGTGTCGGAGAGCAACAGTGAAGCTAAGGAGGTGAAGGAGTTGGTCAAAACTTGCTTGGCTCTTGGTGCGAAGCTAAGCGTAGGGGATGTTTTGGGTCCGTTGAAGATATTGGATTTCTCTGGAACAGGGAAGAAGCTTGCGGAAGCCATTGATAAGTATGATCAGCTGATGGAGAAGATAATTAGGGAACATGAAGAGAAAGCCTCGAAGGGTTTTGATGAATATCAAAGAAAAGATATACTAGACATCTTGTTGGAGATTTACAGAGATCCTACTGCAGAAATTAAGTTGTCTAAAAACGATATCAAGTCCTTCATGCTTGTAAGTATCATATGCATATACAGATATACACATGGTTAATTTGTTTATGAATGATGGATTAGTAAACTGTTTTAGTTGACTGAGTAGGACATATTTCTGGCGGGAACAGACTCATCAGTATCAGCCATGGAATGGGCAATGGCGGAGCTCATTAATCATCCACAGGTCTTCAACAAACTCAGAGAGGAGATAAATTCCGTGGTGGGTTCCAACAGGCTAGTCAAAGAATCAGACATCCCGAATCTTCCTTACCTCCAAGCAGTGATCAGAGAAACCTTGAGGCTCCACCCACCAGGTCCGTTGATCATCAGAGAATGCACAGAGGATAGCGAGGTAAAAGGGTTCATGGTGAAGGCAAAGACCAGAGTGCTGATCAACGTGTACGCGATCATGAAAGACCCGGAGGAATGGAGTGAGCCGGAGGAGTTCGTGCCGGAGAGGTTCTTGGAAAATCCGGAGGAGAGAATTGGAGAGCATCAGATGGAATTTAAAGGTCAGAACTTTCGGTATATACCGTTTGGGAGTGGCCGGAGAGGGTGCCCGGGGGCGTCGCTGGCGATGCTGGTGATGCACACGACGGTGGGTTCGCTGGTCCAGTGCTTTGACTGGAAATTAGAGGAGGGAGACAAGGTTGACATGAGCGAGGGTTCGGGTTTTTCTGCAGAAATGGCTCGACCCCTTCTGGTGTACCCTGTTCAACATCTTAACCCTTTTTCTTGAGACCACCACAATATATTCATACATACATATATACATATATGTATGCATGGCCATGAAAATCTAGAGAAAGTAGTGACAGTTAAGTTAAACATGAAAAATCTAAGAATGGTGCTTGGGGAAGTTTAGATTTTTAGTTTGTTTCGATTCTTAATTAAGAAAATTTCTTTGTTTTACTTTGTTTGCATATATATATATATATATACACACGCCGGACTGGTTATCTCACTAAACTAACATTAAACTATAATTATAATTAAGTAATACAAATACTTAGGCACATTCAAATAATACTTTAATTCATTTTTGTCTGATACAAAAGCAAGCAAACATAAAATTGGAACATCTCTTACACTAAAAAACATATTACTTTTATTAAAGTAAAAGTGTAAATATATTATTTTTATTAAAATTTTATTAAAAATATATAATTTATTATTTTATGAATATATTATAAATTAATATATAATGTTTGGTTTTATAAATCAATTATTTAATTTACTAATATATTAATAAAACTATAATTATTAAATTAAACTAAAATTCTTACCTATTATGTTTTTAAATAAAAAAATAATATAGTATAAGTATTAAAATTTCTAAATTAAAATAACCACAATGAATTAAAAATTCAACTTAATTTTTTATTTATACATAAAAAAATAATCTCCCCTAGCACGTCTATATATTTATTGGTGGCTATGGATGAGACATGAGATGCCAATTAGATATGGAAATTACTAAGGTCCAAAATCATTTCTACAATCGTGTTTACATTCAACTTGTTCAATATATATGATTAAATATATCACATGTTTATAATATATATATATATATATAAGTGTGTAAGTACATATTTAAATAATCAATCAGCTTTCACCTTTCCAAAATCATAACACATTATCACTATCAGTTTACTAATGTATTGCTTTCACTTTCAACTGCTGCCACACATGCTGTTATGCATAGACATATTTTCTATATGCATAGACATATAACACAAAGTAAAAGTCAGAAGATATTTGCTATATAACAGAGACATGATTTAAGCTTTACGCATCAGATCTCATTTTCAAAGACAACAATCTCTGAGAGCCAAAATGACTCGTGCATGCATACAGGATTAAGCACTACTAGGGTCTTATTCAATCTGCAAAAATATGAATATGCCTGGCGAAAATAACATTACCCTAAACTTTGGAAGGTTCGGCTCGGCCGGTTAGCTGCATCTCACCCTGATTTAAGCAAATCCTGTATGAATAAAAATAATTTATGGAAAAAAACTGACATGAGAAATAAAGGGAACATATGAAATACCAAAACGAACTACCAAAAGGTTATTGAGTAAAGAAAAATCGTGAGAAGTTGAGTTCTATATGATGGGTGACAAGAAGAAATCAACTGATATTTTCTTCCTCCAAGAGTTTTGCAAACTACAAAGCATGAATTGTTACAGAAACTTTATCTGATACTTGAGAAAATAAAGCCATACACATAATCCAACGAGAAAAAGACAGATCTTATAAAAACAATCAATTAGACAATTACACTTAATCGACCTACTATTTTGGTACAGTCCTGTTTGAAGTTAATCTGCCGGCGAGGTAAGTGCACCAGAAAATATTTATGCTCCCTACTTTCATTTACAATCACTTGACCTTCTTACGCATTCCCATCCGAGATCTTGCATACCTGGATAGCTCATCAAGTCAAAACCTTGAAACAAAATCAACAAATGCAACAAAAGGCTAAAGAAACAACACGAAAGCATACTCCAATCGCATGCCATCGCCTGCTGATGATGAGTACAAAATCGTGCCTTGCAGACTATTTAGTGCCCCGGTTGAACAGGCAGTGTCCTGCCAAAAATCGTTAAAAATGACATGTCATGCTGGATGTTTTAAACAATCACCACAGTTCTTCAAATTCCTCGGTCCAATTTGGAGAAGTGGGATGAAATTAACATTCACAAACGCTTTTACCGCATATAACATAAACCATTACGCTACCTAAAAAAAATTAGGATTAGGCTAATGTTAGCATCTCTTACGGCCATCTATAGGTTTGCTTAGAGTAGATTTACAAGTGAAAAACACACTCACTTTACCACTAAACACAAAGCACCTTGTGTCTTACTAAACTTTCAGCACAAGGCACTTCTGCATTTTGAGAAAGATATTAATTAGTTAAACGACAGAATTCTGTCAAACAAGAAAAAATACGTTCACAACTTCCCATCATAAAAACATTAGTACTTTACGTCTCTCTGTGAATTAGAGAATTTGGTAGGAAAAGCATTTAAAAGAACATGAAATTTAGTACCTGAAAATCAACAAATGCAACTGGTGCCCCATACGTACTCTGCATCTTCAATTTCAAAAACCCAGGGCAACTGACAGAAAAGCCAAAAGCAAATCATATATAAAACATACTTCACGCATGGAGAGAGGATAAATAAACCCTTACCTTGAAAATACTTGAGTTAATTCTTGCTCTGTAACAGTTGGCCCTAAATTAGCCACAAAAAGTGTTGGACATGGGGTAGCATTTTGTGCTGTGGAATTATTCTGTAAGCATAAGAAAGACAATTAACAAACTAAAATTCAAGATCAATTTACCATTCACACTTCATCTACCAAATTATAGGTCTAAAAGTGACTCAAAACTGATGAAGAAAAAGCAATCTTACCAATCTAGATGCTGTCCCATTTGCAGCTCTAGCATCAAAACTCTCATGACTGAAAGATTAAAAAGAAGATAATCCACAATCAGAAAATGTTTGTAGATGCATCAAGGTAATAGCTTAAGAAAGCTAACATTATTCTCCAACTTCAGGGAAAAGGGCATGCAGTATCTGCTTTACTAAGCCCTTGACCTTTCAGGTAGAAAGATGCGACATAAAGAACTTTTTTTAGAATAAATTGAAGAAAAGTGTTAAGAATGATAGAAGCAAACACTTCTAAGTAAAATGTGCTTAAGTAGTGCAGATGACCTTTGTGTAGATGAATAACCAATCGTGTTGTAAGCAGAATTACTCATTCCAGGCAAGTGAACGCTGCCAAAACCTGCTAGTGCGCAAGCGTGCAAAACATGTGCAAAGTGAGCTTTTAGAAGAGTGTGTCCTCCATGTGACTAACCAATTTGGAGTCCAAGTGAGATATAAGAGAAGTATGACATAGATAATATCACGAAAAATGATATTGTAAGAGAGGGAGAAAGAAACAAATATATGTGATAAACAAACAGCTAGATAGTTTAATAAACAGGTAGGCACTAGTTACTAGCTCGCTAGCTAGCAAAAATAGACAAGCATATGGCCAGATAGATTCTAGACAAGCAGACAACAAAACAGATACACAGCTAAAAAGAGAGAGAGAGAGAGAGAGGGAGGTAGAGGCAACTACAGTAAAGACATTGATTGATTAAGAATATTTTCATGCAAGAAGCCCTAGGAGAAAGCTCCAGCAAGCTAAGCAATGGCAACCAATCATCTTACCCGAATCAGGAATGCTCCTAGAGATGGATCCTCTAGCTTTCTTATCTGAGCCAGGCCATTCATCATCTAATTACAGAAATCCACAGGAGCACAAAATGTGGTTTCAGATTAGTTTGGATAAAGTAGTTTAGTAAGTTTAGAATTTATAAGAAAGAATCACAAAAAAAGACCTGCCCTTGAGCGCTTGGATCTGGAATTTGACTTGGCAAGGTCAATATATAAAGATGAACCCTTCTCAAGATCAAACACCATCCCCTGTAAAAATTTCAGAATGCAACATTCTCAGATAATATTGCTATTACATTTCCTTAATTGGCAAACTGTGGGACTTCTGATTTCTTGAAGATTGTTTGATAGACCTGAGTGCATAGACTACTATTCACTCCACACCTTTGGACTTTGGACAAAGCAAAAAAACTTCTTGTAAGCATGAAATAATTGATAGTATTACAAAAATGGAACATAACAGCTAAATCCATAATTTATTCCTGAGTTCCATAAATACTAAAACATTACTGAGAGAACAATGTTCTCTGATCAGACGACTAGTTTTGCTCTATGAGAACCCATAAGAGAACCAAAATATAAGGTTCTTATAACTTTCTTTTCTTGCACAATTTCTAATTGTTATAGAAGCAAGTTGGAGAAGATGGTCTTACATTAAGCGCATGCATTGCTGCTACTGCAGATTGCTGATCCGAGAATACAGCAAAAGCAAAGGGCTGTTAAACACAATAATATCAGACTGAAGCAACTTAAGAGGATAATGGAAAATACATAGGCCAAGGTTTATTTGCAAAATTGGCAAAAGTTTCCCGTGACAATAATAAAATTAATAGCGGATCCTGCTGGTGCCTAGTGAATGAAACTTTTTCCTTTTTCATTCATGCTGAACCAAAACCACCTGCATAGCAGTTGAAGAAACTGGAACACTCTTTTACAACTATACATCTAAATTGTAATGGACTATTGCAATGTTTAAATAGGCTCATCCTAAATTGTTGACAGAATCACAGCCTACTTACTAACATAAGAAACGAGAATTGTATCTTACTCTTCAACATCTATGCCCAGCCTTGCATACTATTTTGATACTTCATTAGTGCTGTATATCAGATGCTTAGAACAATCCCACTATGATTAATGTGTCATTTTAAATTAGTGCAGAATAGCAAAATGAAGGAGGAACCATTTACTTAGCCAGCCAGCGACAAGAAATATGATAACATCAAGATTTACTGAAATGGCATCGTTCAAATTTTCCTATAACATCATGGTCAAAAAAGTTCCATGCTCAAAGGCGGTATGATGTTTCAAGTCCCATCCATTCACAAATGATATGATTCCAACTTTGAAATAGGATATTGGGCCAGAAATGAACAAAAAGTTCTTCCAAGCTTTGCTGCAATCAAACTAGTACAGATCTAGAAAGGTTCTGTTGAACTATGATATTTAGCCCGATGTCGAGGTTTAACCCAAGTTCAAATAATCACGGTTCAGGAATGAGCTTGCATTTGTATTAAACACCATCAAATTTTTACCAAGGCAACCCGGTGATAGCAACCTACGAATGATTACATAATGCCAGGCAACCAATGAAAGAAGAGCATAAGAGGATTCTTCAAGAAATTAATTCGCTAAACAATTCAGCTAAATTTCTCCAAATTTTAGGCCAAGTTGCTTTAAAACTCGAATATAAATAGACCAAAAGAAACAGCTGCAAGCCCCAACCCTACAAAAACGAGCCAAACGAATCGAGATCAGCGCACCTGAGAATTCTGAGACTGGCTGGGGCCACGAAGATGCGAAGACTCGTAACCCGGGAATTCCCGCAATAAATTGTAAATCTCGCGGGGCTTGACATCATCGGGAAGACCTGCAATGAAGAGAGTCCGGACCTCGTCCCGGGAAGAGTGCGAAGCAAAGAGAGACGCGTACGATGAGAGGGGAGGCGGTTGGTGCGGGACGTACGGGTGGTGGAGGAGTTGGTGCTGTGGCGCTGGGACAACAACTTGAGGTGGCGCCGGCGCCGTCGCTCCGGGCGGCGGAGGAGGGGCCTGGTAGTAAGCGTAGTGAGCGGCAGGTTGAGCGTAGTAAGCTGCCATGTCGTCCATTGCGTCTGTTAGGAGTTGTTGGGTTGACAGTGCAGGCTTCAGCTTCGGCCGAATCAGTTCTTGAATGTGTTAGTCGTGTCGGTGTCCCGATGGGCCCGTGAGTCGGATGATTCTGATGGACGACCATAACGCAATATATTATGGTTGCGATCCAATTACAAACAAATAACGAATTTTGACTCCACGATTATGTATCTCAGTGTATACCAAGTACGATATAGTAAAAGAAAAGTATAAACTAGTGTATTTTTATACCTGTGTTTATGTATATATCTATCTTCCCATATAGTAAAATTTAAATATATTATTAGGATCGCTTAAATCTTCGGAAAAAAAAAAAGTTAAACTTGTTACCCGATTCCGTTGCAAATTCTGATCTTTCCTTGAATTCGAATTCATTTGAGACTTCAACTATTTGTTCGGGAAAACACGAAGGTAAAATATTTACATTTTTCGGAGGAGCAACGTCTAACTCAGTCGAATATTCCTTCTCACATTTAGCATAAGATTATTTAGTAATGAGTAAACCAAGCAATAGCACAAAAAATAAATACCACATCATCATACAGCTAAAAGAAACTAGGCGCAACTGAACAACTCTCCTTCAAAGCTGCATCAGAACCAAAACACAAAAAGCTGAGCAACTCTTCCTGAATCCCTGATACCAGAATCAAAATACAAAGACACAAACAAGCGTTACTCCAATCCCGGAGACACCTTTCCTCTAGCGCAGCTGGGCGTGTTACGTGCATAAAAATCAGTTTTAGCAGAGCCATAATTGATGCTTTGCTTGCGGTGGATGTACAGGCCCTGTTAAGTACCCAGGGAAACCTTTGAACATACAACCACACAATAGAGAGACCGGAAAAAGAAAATTCTATCACACATTGTAACTCTTTTTAACCGATACCAATACCATTGAGTCACTAGCTAACTGCATTAAATATATCAACAGCTGTTAATCCAAATCCATGTAAATAAGTGACTACGGTTCACCCATGCAAACTCCAACCAGAGGAACTGCGGGAATTACCAAATACCAACACTCTCTAACAAAAGCAGGTTTTCACATTATACAAGTTGTCGTGGCTACTTTTGCCATGCACAAAGAGTCAATATATAAAGTGAATTTACTAGACAAGAGGTGGATATTGCTTGGCCTGTTGGCGGACCCTTCTCTTATACTCTGCAGCATCCTGCACAAATTCACATTTTTATGTGTTAGAATGTCGAAGATATGAGGGCCTCAGAACAGAATTTGTTCGAGAGATAAGGATCTTATCACAAGGGAATTTGTTAAAGAGTTAGGGACCAACATAGGAATCCTAGAGAGTATGAACCTTTAGAACTGGGACCAATTTTTGCAAGTAAAACCTTCAGCAATTTTACATATATTACTTGTACCTGTTTGCCCTGCTTGGCTCAGTTCTTGTTTCCCACCTAATTAATGCTAACTCTTAGTTTTCTAAACGGTGTTGATAAGTGTTGTGGGTTTATTACATAATTCTTATGTTCTAGTTACCCCATCCCCAGCTTAGATTCCCTAGTGGGTGGATGTCCAGTTCTCACTTCTGAAAAGGATCTTAAATCCTACCCACCCCAAAGAAACACAGTCAGGGTGGGAACAGTTGAAACATTAAAGGGCTTTCATACATATCAAGACCATTATTAAAAAACCAGACAATACAGAGTGAACTGAACCAAACAGGACCTGTGCACAAAACTTTCTGCAGATACTTAGTAAACAGGAAACACATTCAGTTGCTTATTTCCATTTCACTAAAAAGCAGAAACCTATAATAAGAAGGCTTCATCATCCTGTCACCAAAGAAATCCCCCTGGTTCTGTATACATTCATATGCTTGGCCATTGCAAGAGGATCCTCCAACACTGGTTTGACATAATCTAGTTAACATAACAACATTGAGAAGAATAGGGCCAGTCTACCTGGATGAAGAGATGATAACCATCTGTCTGTGCAGGGTCAGCAGGATTTGGTTGGTCCAGCAAATCCTGTATGCCCACAAGAATCTGCTTCACCGTAATGGCTGGTCTCCATCCCTACAAACCACACATACATATGAATAAATTCCACCAGGCAATGGAACAAACAATATATCATATCACATGCACTAGTAGAAAAAAAAAAATCACTTACACTATCCTCGTTGAGAATTGACAGACAGACTGTTCCAGAAGGGTAAACATTTGGATGAAAGAAACCTTGCGGGAATTTACATTTTGGTGGCTTACTGGGATAATCTTCACTGAAATGGAGTGTCAGGGGGAAGTAACCACCTTCCCAATCAGTCTGCAATTAACACATGATATTGAACATTGCAAGCTTCTCACTAGAAGAGTTATTTTGGTCACTGGAACAACATATTATTAGTACTTCATGTGCTAATCAAGGAACAGGTGTAACCAACAGCTAAACCAATAATTGTAAACATTCTGCTCGTGTGCACGAATACAGCAGAAAATGTTCTAACAGAAAGCATACTCCTTCACAGAATTGTATTTGCCTCACTCATTTTACTTTCTGTTTCTCTTCAAATGATGAGGGTAAAGATTTTATTACTTCCAGCCTCTAACATTCAGGCACAATTCAACTTGCAATTCCACAAGGTTAAGGGGGTTAAAGGAAAGCTCTGATTAGGAAAGATTAGCAACACATTCCCTTGACATAATAAGAACCAAACACCATCATTGAGTAAATTTAATGTGTGAATTAAAAAAGGAGAGCCACCTTCTTAGGTTTTACAAATAGAGGACACCGTTATATGGCACAATTCTGTACAAGTCTTCACTAAATTCATCCGGTTCAAAGCAATATATCCGTAACATGAGAAGAAAACAGACAGAGGATCATATTACCATACCCTTTTTCTTGGTTATAATACAAAAGGTAATCCAAAGAGTGTATCTATTAATTTTCCACTGGAATTATCAGCGGTTTATTACAGCACCAACTATAGACCAAACGCCCAACTCAAAACCTCTCTAAATGACTAGAAAAAATATTAGTCAATTTTGACACGTTACTTCTTTCTGAAGAAACGAGACTACCTTGAAAATAAACAAATTATAATAACTTGCTGATAAGAGTAAACAAATTGGAAAGGAAAATATCAAGTCCAGTTACACATTTTCAGAATAAACTGGCAGGAAATAATGTGTTCCTCGCATCAAACCGTCATGTAACACTAGATACCAAAACTATAGAAACCTTTTTAACAACAGATATAGAGGCAGCAGTTAACGCAAACCCTAAACCAAAACGTGTGGATCAAAACATAGGAATAGTTAAGTACACAAGATAGCATTTCCAAACAGAAACGAAGGACGACTTCGTTTTTGGTATTTACTCACCCCAGCTTTACCAGGGATAGTACAATGCCACACCATCAAATTCACCGTTCCATCAGACAGAGTCTCCGGCTTCGCAACAAAACCCTAGATTACAATTAAATAAACAAGTTTAACAAAGCAAATTATATAAATAAAAAAAAACAACGGGAAAATCTATGCAACTAGTTGCATTTAAAAACACCGACTAGAAAAAGAAGACAACAAAAAAAACAGACTAATATCCGATCATTTCGAATCGAGATAGGAGAGAAAGGTGTACGGACATGAGGATGATTCTTACGCCACGCCTTTCGCTCCTCAGCGAGTCGACCACGCGCTATGCCTCCCGACATGTTTCTCTCTGATAATTCTCCTTGTTCCCCCTCCCCCCCTCCTTCTCTCTCTCTCTCTCTCTCTCTCTCTCTCTCTCTCTCTGAATATGATTTGCCTTGTTTTTTAAAAGAGGAAACGAGGGAGACTTCGATTTTCTTTCTGGCTTTTTAAGCAGGGGGACGTTTTGCAGAGGGAGTAGGGATGTACGGTCAGGATTTGATCGCGAAGCAGAAAGGAAAGTGGGGCAGGATATGTTTGTCGGCTCAGTCTTCTTTTTTTTTTTTTTTTTTTAATACTAAAAAATTGGGGTAAGAGAGTCAATGGATTTTGCAGTTTTATATTCCTGCGTCAATTCCACGCTAAACTTCATAAGGACTAATCCTCACGTCACGTGATCCACGCCGTCTCTCTCTCTCTCTCTCTCTCTCTCTCTCTCTCACAGTAAACGCCGTTAACGTTTCAACCCCTTGACTAAAATTTCAAACATGTAATTATTTAAACTCAATTAATTATTTATACATAAATACTATAATTTAGCGATTAAGAGTTTTGTATTTTATTTAAAAATTATAAATTATAAATTTTTTAAAAATATATAACTCATCTCGTAATAAATAAATATATTATAAATTAACAATAATCGTTTTATAATACTTTATTTAATAAAATTATTTATTACTTTAATTTAATAATATTTTAACGAGACTATAATAATTAAATTATATTAAATTTTAATTAAAATAATTATACCATATTAAAAATTTCATACAACAATTTTGTGGTTGAAATTTTGTTGTTTATAAATAATATTATATTGCTTATATGTTAAGCAAGTTACCATATAATTTTATATGTGGGTTAACACAAATGTCTAATATTTTGTTCATAATTTGTTCTTAAAATATGATATCTTAAACTATAATTTTATATAATAAATATATAATAATATGATATACCAGTTTGATTGAAATTTTATTAATTAGTTCATATTTTAATTTAATTACTTATAAGAAATACAATAACAAGTCTCTTTATGCATATTATGGAAAAACTTTATATATTTTGAATCAATTCTTTAAAAAGTAATATATATATATATATATATATACAAAATAAATAAATAAATTTAAAATAGAAAAAGGATAAAATAAGTTTGATGTAGTTTTTTATTACGGTTTTTGTGTTTTAAAAATATTTTTCAACCAAACAAGTAAAATACAAAATATTTATCGTAACGGGTAAAGTTAAAATATATTTTTGATAGGTTTATAAGTAAAAACTATAATATAAAATCGTAAAAAAATTACTTTGACTCTTTTAAAAAATTTACATTTATAATTTCATGAAATAAAAAATTTCTGATTTTTCAAAAAAAAAAAAAAGACATTTTCTATAGTTATTTACACTAAACATTAAATAGTATTTAATTGAAAAATATTTATAGTCAGTAATTATTTTAACAACACTTTTAAAACTCTTATCACGGAGCATGAGTCCAATCCATATCGTATGGTAATAAAATTAATCAGTGCTAAAGCCCG